TTTGCATTAATAAGTGAAACCCCCCCCCCCTTCAAACCCCCAATCCGAGGTTGGCCGTGACCCCAGGGGTGGCAGATCCCCAGGGAGGGGTCACCCCACAGCCCCAGGGTCTGACCCCTCCTCGCCTTAAATCTGGGGCTGTCCCACCTTGGGCAGGTCCTGTGCCCATCCCACAGAAGCCAGGGGTGGTCGGTGGTCCCGGGGGATGCCAGAGATGGGCTCAGACCTGGCTGGAGCCCCCCCCATTCCACGTGGATCCCGCAGTGGGGGCCGGGGGGGGGCTCTGTCCCTGTACATACAGCGCTATACTGTGAGCGTTTTTTTTTATGTATTGTTGAGAATGGATTTTATGGAAGGGTTTATCTTATTTTTATTTTATTTTTATTTTTTAGACTAGGAAGCTGGAATCTTGCAATAAGCTCATCCCGACCATCCAAAAAAAAAAAAAAAAAAAAAAAAAAAAAATTTGAAAAAAAAAAATCCCACATAATTAAAAAAAAAAAAAAATCGCATTCGTAGCCGTCCCTGTCCCTGTCCCTGTCCCTGTCCCTTCAACACCACAGCCCGAGGGCTTTGCCGGAGCTGTCCCTGTCGCTGCAAAACTAGGGACCGGGGACACTGCCGGAGCTGTCCCTGTCCCTTCAGCACCACGGACTGGGGACATTGCCGGAGCGGTCCCTGTCCCTCCCCCTGCAGAACCATGGACAGGGGACACTGCCGGAGCTGTCCCTTCAGCACCATGGACAGGGGACACTGCCAGAGCTGTCCCTTCAGCACCATGGATAGGGGACACTGCCAGAGCTGTCCCTGTCCCTTCAGCACCACAGCTCGAGGGCTCTGCCGGGCTGTCCCTGTCCCTTCAGCACCATGGACAGGGGACACTGCCGGAGCTATCCCTGTCCCTTCAGCGCCACGGAAGCACCAGGGACTGGGGACACTGCTGGAGCTGTCCCTGTCCCTGCAGCAGCACAGCCCCAGGGCTCTGCCGGAGCTGTCCCTGCAGAATCACGGACTGGGAACACTGCCGGAGCTATCCCTCCAGTGCCATGGAGAGTGGACACTGCTGGAGCTGTCCCTGCAGAACCACGGACTGGGGACCCTTCCGGAGCTGTCCGTGCAGAACCATAGAGAGTGTACGCCGCCAGAGCTGTCCCTCCAGTACCACGCACCGGGGACACTGCCAGACTTAGACCTTGAGTACCATGGACACTGCCGTGTCCTTTCAGCACCACAGACTGGGGACACTGCCAGAGCTGTCCCTTCAGCCCCATGTCTCAGGGGCAATGGGGCACCTGTTCCATGGTCTGGGGACACTGTTGGACCTGTCCCCTGGCACTGGAAGAGAAGCACCAAGCTCTTCCTGGCAACTGATGGGCCATGGCCAACCATGAACACCTTTGATTAAATTAAAGCCACAGTAGTTGAAATCAGCACAGTGAAGAGGTAATCACTCCAGACATGTTGCTAGCATGGCAGTATCACAGAGCACAATTAAGTTAGACATAAATTAATCTGCAACCATATGCATCTTGCTCGACTTAGTGGTCCGCCGATTCCTATCACTGCTTTGTCTGAAGGGACGTTTTGTGGAGATAGAAGTACCCTTCCAGATTAGGCATGATCTTTGTTCACTCTCTTTTAAAAGTCAGCTTTCAATGATATTTAAGACACACTTTTGCTGGAGTATCTACTGAGTAAAGCAGGTTCACCAATGCACACTCTACTGTATGTGGTTCTGGAAGTATGTCCAGAAGGTTTTAGAGGAAGAAAGATGTATATGAGAGCATACACACAGATTTGAAAAGAAATAACCAGCACAAAATATTAATTTGAACACTTTGGGTCACTTCCATGGACAAGAAACATAGATAACAATTCTTATTTTTCTAAGAACTTAAGCAGAGCAGTTTTTTGGGGTTTTTTCCATCCATGAGACAAATTAGTTTAGGATAAATAAGAAATTAAAGAAAAATCTTCCATGCTTACTTTTACAGACTAGCTGTAGATCAGATAACATCATGAAGCCACTTTAGTACTGAAGAGATGGTACAAAAAATAGAATTGCATTTGGCAAGATGCAGAGAGCAACTATTAATAAACTTTTGAAAGACGGATCAGATATCCTCCCAGAGCACAGCTTCCCAAGCGAACAATTGTTACAGAATGTCTGCAACTTTCTGCACCATTCTTTATTATCAGTCTTCCTCCCAGTGGTTCCCTGTTGCTATACACATTTTTAAATTTAAACAATTTGTACATCCCAAAGCACCTCTGCCTACAGAAATGCATTCTGAGGTACTCTGAGCTTCCAAAACAAATCCCAGCCCTCTGAAGGAGAAAATGCTACAACTTCCCATGTAGGTTGTACTTGTTTATGGGTAAAATACCATCAAATCAGCAAAGTACTGTACAAACAACCCTTTCTACCTGTCACCAACAGAGCTTAAGAATGCAGCAAGTACTGCAGGCAGCTCCTGGGCAGGAGTACAGGCACTGTGAGTACCAGGAGTGTGTGGAAGGCTTATTGTAACACAGAGGAGCAGAACAGTATTCACTTAGCACACACAAGTGGCAAGAGACAGGCTGAGGAGGAGAGACTCAGTGGTCAAAGGAGGAAAGAGAGTTCTGACATTGTAACCAATAGCGGGAAATACAAATCATCAGCCAAAGTTGCATTCTACTTTATATTCTGTAACCTGATAATATATGCATTTGTATTAATATAGCTAATAACAGAAAGGTAGAGAAATTAACCCTTAAACATTGTATCTTTGTAAGGGCAAATAGGCTTTATACTGTCAGATGGTCTTTCAAAGTAAATTTTTTACTGCCCCAGGTAGAATACAGTCAAATACAAACATAAGCAGACACTTTTCAAAGTGCAGTGGACAGCACGTTCTGCTGAAAACTCAGTATCTTCCGGTGGCAGTGTGAAAATTTCTTGTAACAGTCCCTATATGGCAAAAAGAGCAAGTCCTTATGTATTATCAAGAGAACTAATTTCATGTCCCGTTATGTATAATGCACTATCAAACAGCCACTGAGTTAGAGGGGTCGCTTCAGACCTCCACAGGTATTAGAAGTTCTGGAAGAAAAAACATTATCAACTGCCTTAGTAAACCCACCTTAAGGAACACAAAACCAGCACGAGTAAACCTGCTCATCCAGCCAAAGCCAGAGTTATAGCACAGTTCTGTGTGCACTCCGCAGCCTCTAGTCACCGTGGTATTTATTTTTATGGCAGAGAAACAAACTTTGTGACAAATTCTCAGCTTTAGCTGTGGGAAGCAGGGAAGTACAAAATGATAGCCTGTGGCTGTGTCCACTGACTGCCCCTTGCCTGTCCTGGGAAGCAGCACATCTGGGAGGCTGGGCAGCATGGATGTGACAGCCAGCATCATTTTGCCTGGCAGACTATGTGCCCACAAAGGGGAAATGCCAACTGTGACCTGTTGTCACATCAGGCGCTCCAGTTGCAATAAAAACTCCAGGAACACATTGTCAGTGCACAGGGTTTGAGCACAGCTGTGGGAACCACCACCACTGCCCTTGCCAACTCCAAAACAAAGTTTGCAAAAGCAGATCTACCCATGCCTGGCTACATGAAGGGCTTTCCCAGCTGATCCAGTTCCCATGCCCTCATCATTTTCATTCTCCTCCAGGCTGCTTTTTGTCCAAGTTTTCCCCGTGTCTCTTAAGGTGGAAGAAGGAGTGTGACCACAGGGCTTTCTTCCTGAGGGGAACCCCAGGAGTGTCACTCTGCCTCTTCCCTCTTCCACTCTCTTCCTCTCCATCCAAGTCACAGCACCATGGTAGCCAATGCCCCTAGCCAGACCAGCCCCACTCTTCTCCAGTCACACAAGAGACAGAGGATTCCATCTCCAGGAGAAGAGGTGCGGGACACCCTCAAGTCCAACAAGTGCCCAAGAAGAGCATTAAATTACGTAACACGGGACGGAAGCAAAAAGACTTATCCAGCACAGACACCCTTGCAAGCCACAGCCTCCCTGCCCCTCTCCCTTTTTTTCCAGCCCGGGAAGTTTTTGCCCCAGTCCCGGCCATGGCCCCACAGGGTCTCCCCGAGGGGAGTCACTCACCGATGGTCGTGATGACCGTGATGGCAAAGTAGAAGGAGCCGGCGAATTTCCACTGGACTCCGGCGCGGTGAGGCTCGGACTGCATGATCACCAACTCCAGCTGCCGGTAGTCCTCGCTGGTGATGTTGTACTTTCCTTTGAGCCGGATCTCCTCGGCTTTGAGTTTCTCCTCCTCCCGCATCTCGTTGTCGGACTCCAGGGCATCAAAGACGGCAGCCCCGACCAGCAGGTAGGTGAACGTGCAGATGATGAGGGACAGGGTCCGCACGTTCTGCCTCTTCATGGCCGCCAGCAAGGGGCGAGTGAGGGGACCATGTCCCCCCCTGGCCGCCCGGGGTTCCGACAGGCC